GTCATTAAGAACCTTCAGTGAAGCAGTGGTTGTGCTGTGTTGTTTCCTGAAACCAGATTGATGTGGAGGTAAGATGTTAAATGAGTCCAGGTTATTTTTGATTTGAGAGTTTATCAGTTTTTCTAGAACCTTGGCTAAAATGCAGAGTTTAGAGATTGGCCGATAGTTGTTCAGTGAGGTAGGGTCACCTCCTTTCAGCAAAGGAAGAACAAAGGCTGTTTTCCAAGCGTCTGAGATGGAGTTTTGTCTTATGGAGAGATTGAAGATGTGGGTCACAGGGACTGTGATGATATGAGCAGCCAGCCTTAAGAAATAAGGTGGGAGTTCATCTGGACCTGCAGACTTTTTAGGATCAAGATCTTTTAACAGTTTATTAACCTCACTGACTGAGAATGGAGAAAAAGGGAAGGTGTGATTGAGGATTGACTTGCAGGAGGGATTTGATTTGTACAAGTTTGGTTATTAAGTGAAGTGGCTGATTTTCCATTAGTAACTTTGTCAAATAAAGAACTAGAAGCAACAAAATGTTTGTTGAAACAGTTCAAGATCTCGTGCTTATTTGACACAGGAACAGAGTTAACGAGAAGTTGTGATGGGAGGTCAGATGATTGGGGGCTGCCTGAGAGAGATTTGATGGTTTTCCAGAATCTGTTGGGGTCATTTAGATTTTTGGAGGTTTGAGATAAGAAATAGTTGCATTTTGCTGCTTTGACAGCAGTTGTGCATGTATTCCTCATCTGTCGAAAACTCAACCAATCAGTGTCTGAGTCAGATTTTCTCGCTGTAGCCCAAAGATGATCTCTCCTGTGCAGGAGGTCATCTAGCTCTGGAGTAAACCAGGGGCTGTCTCGTCCCTTTATTCTGAACTGACGAAAAGGAGCATGTTTGTTCACAAAATAAATTAAACTATTATGAAAATAGTTCCAAGCGGAGTTCACATCATCAGTTAACAGAATACGATGCCAGTCAAAGTGAGACAGATCCCTGAGGAATGACTGTTCACAAAAATGTTTCAGATCCCTTTTTTGAATTAATCTGGGCTTAGAAGGTGGACTTTGGGCTTTGCTTGTTTTTGTGTGCATGCATGCAAATAAAATATCATGTGTCCAACTGGACAGATTTGAGCAAAAAGTAATCATTGTATACAGTATATGTTAACAACTGATTACTGTTATAGTCAGGCCAATTTAAGATGGCTGCCACAGGGAAATGATCTTAGAAAACATAAAAATGGCTATAACTTGGTGAACTTTACAAATATTGAGTTAAATTTGTAATGAGTAGCTGAGAGTCATTCACAATAATTAAGTAAATCACTAACACATTGTTACTAAATTATCCAGTCAATTTCTTTAGCAATTAGGTGTAGATCATGTCAGGCCCAGATGCAGTTCAGCTCTTCGGTCTTGAGACTCTGTCTTGGATGTCTTCCATTGTAAATGATAAATGGTAAATGTACTGTACTTATATAGCGCGTTTCTATCCTATCAAGACACTTAAAGTGCTTTACACTACAATCTGTTCACTCATTTTCCCATTCAT